CATAAATGTTCAATGTCCTGAATGGTTTTAGGACACTGACCCATTTATAGGCATTTGGCATTGGGGAAGAGCTAAAAGTGGCAGGATGCTCCATTGTATGACTTGGGTGGGTGAGGACACAATGTTCTCACTGAACAGAATCCCAAGAGGCAAGATCATGAGCCCCAAAGTGTGGTCATGATTTAGGGCACACTGAAAACGCACCTTCCCTCAACCAGAACTTTCCTTGCACTGTTACTAAGGCTCAATGCACTGCTTCTCATACTGAATGTACCCGCCCTGCCCTTGGCTAGTGCCCAGCGGGAGTACTATATATACCCAACACACCTTCAGAAAGTGGACCTCACGCACGCAGTGGGAAAGTGGTTCTTGGTATTACAAGTCACAGAAGCAGGATTGTGCTCAGGTTTTGACTAACAAGATGGCATGAGGGAGAAATAGAGGGTCCCTGGTACCTGCAGCAAAACGGGGAAGGGACATCACAGTAGGAACTAGCTGAACTGTAGCAGTCTGCTGTACTTAAAGGATGTGATGAGGTATGTGTTTGTAAGATTGGGGCTTACTTACATCCTCTTCCTTTGGAAGATAAATGTTTAATTTCCTATCATTTTGTTATATTGTCTATCCATGTGGATGTCTGTGTGCAGGCATGGGTAATCCTGGGAACAATATCTTTTCTCAGGTACTGGACTCTACTTTCTGATATTCACCTCTCTTATTTTTCATACTTGTGGGCTTACATGTTTTCCAGGCATGTCTCCAAGGTAGTTTTGGTGGGGAGGGCACAGAACACAGATTTCTCCAGTAAGTAAGGAGAGCAAAATTGAGCGGTGCTGTCTTAGTTACTTTTTTCTCACTGCAGGGACAAATACCTGACACCCAGAATTCAGGAAGGAAAGGTTTCTTTAGCTCACAGTTAGTGGAGGTTTCAGTCCATACTCAGCGGGCTCCAAGGCAAAGTGGCACATGGCCGAAAGCAACCATTCATGGCTGTAGAAAACAGCAAAGGCCAAAGAGAGGGGCAGCAGTTGTGGCAGCTAGCTACCCTTTCCCCCCACCCCTTATGCTGGTGTGCAGATTACCTGCCCCAGGATGAGTGTAGCACTCACATCCATAATCCCAGCACTGGATCATGAATTAATCACAAACCCTGGAGGCTGCCCCATTGACCACATGAGGCTTTGGGGGGACAGCTGGACACAAACCCCAACAGGTGCCCCGTGGTGCTCACTGCTGCGAAGGAGGCCCACACTTCTCTCTGCACCTTAATATTATTAATTTCACCTGCCTACAATAGGCCACTGTACAGCTCTTATCTCTGTGACTTGAACATATTTACCCAGGCATAGCTTTTTCATTCTTTGTGCTCATAAATTTTCAAAGGTTACCATAAATGAACTTTATAGGCTTTATCAAATATAGCTGGAGTATTGAATTCAGATGTTCCTAATCCACAGAAAAACACATGAAGATAAACTGAAGCTTAAGCCCTCTCCAGTGAAAAGAAATGCCTTCACTACTACAGAGCAAGGGCCGTCCCTGCCCCGAGGTCGGCGGGCACGTGTCTGGGCCCTGCTGTTTGTTGCAGGCCCACGGCTTCATTTCTTTTGGCACCACTTCCTCATCTGCAGAGGTTAGGTAAGTTTACCTTTCGATCCCATTCACACTTTGCAACTGTTTCAACTCCACTCTTTTCCTGCTGAGTTCTTGAACCTTTTAGGGTCACTTTTCTGGAGTTTTTCTGAGTGTTTCCAGCAGGTTTCCTGGCAGGAGTAGCTGACAGTTTTGAGATGAATCATAAGCCCTGCAGGCTGCGTGAAACACAGGACTCTGAGGTTGTCTTTTTCATTTTATTTATTTATTTTTTTTGGTGTAGGGACTCACTACACAGCTCAAACTCACAGTGATCCTTCTGTTTCCAGCCACGTGCTGGGATTATAGGTGTGCGCCACCACGCCTGGACTCGGTCGCCAGCTCAGTGCGCCTGCGGGTAGTGCTGGCGTGGCATGTGGTGCCAGGGATCGAACCTTCTTTTTCTTTTAAATTTTTTATAGTATTGGGGGATTGAGTCCAGGGTCTTTGCACTGAGCTATAGCTGCAGCTATCTTTTAATTTATTTTTATTGTGAGAGGGAGTCTTGTTAAGCTGCTCACGCAGGGCTCACCTGCGATCGTCCTGCCTCAGTCTCACACTGCAGTGCTGGACTTCAAGCGCACACTGCCATGCCCACCGTCCCTCCTGTGCTGCAGCTTCCCGAGGGTTGGTGGGTGCCGCATGAACAGAGGCAGGAGGCTGTACAGAGTTTTGTTTCCAGCAGATCAACAAAGCCCCATTCCTCTGGTCTTCAAGATCTGCGTGTCATTTTGCCACATGCAACCCTGAACTGGACATTTTAATGTGGGCCTCTGACTCAGGGGAGGGTTCCTAACCTAGGCAGACAGTTACAGCAACGGTGCTTGCCTACCTGGGGCTTCAGGGAATTCTACTAAACACCCCTCTGCCTCTCACGTGTGTTCAGAGGTTCCTTTCAGAGTGGCAGGTACTTGGGGTGAGGGGGTGAAGGTCTTTGAGCATCTCAATAAGACTTCATGGACTTTATAACGTAAATATTTAATTTTTGTGTTTTTCCCCTCCTATGAGTGCTTGCAACAGAGTCTGGAAAGTGAATAATGGCAGAGAATAATCTTAGGATATAGATTAGAGGAAAATGATTAGAGGAAGAGGACGAAGGAGCAAGCAGGCATTGGCAATAAAAGTGTAAAGAGACTGATACAATGACTGGAGAAACCTCACTCGAAGGACCTGAGGCAACAGGCAAGGAAGGCGAAAGGCAGTTCAGAGCCGGCTCTCTGGAAGGCTGCCAAAGGCGGCGTTGCTGAAGGTGGCTTTACAGCACACACAGCCACACAGACAATGTGAAGGCTGGTATTAAAAATCACTTGAAATTCATTGTTGTATTGATTAATATGCTCTTTACAGTAGGGTTTAGGTAGGAATAAAAATTTCAGGCAGATCTCAATAGAAGGAAAAGGCATCTGTCTCTCAAACATCTGTTTTATTTTTCTTATAAATATTGTGAATTTTGTCATGAATTGAGATCCTCTTCCCCTTTAGTATTAAGAATCCCAGAGTAAAATTTGGTCCCCCATTGCTGAGATATTTGAACATTAGGCCTTGACCCTACAGTAAGAACCATAACAGTTAATCTTTAATTCTACTGTGAGAGACTGAACCAAAAAGTGAGGTGGAAGAAAGCCAGACGTCTTGGAGAAATCTGAAATTTAGGTTTATTTCCTTAGAACACAACAGCATGAAGGACTGGTGAACAGGACGCTCACTTCTCTATCATGGATTCTAAGGATCTAATATAACTCCAAAGAAATTATTTTATAAAAATACTGTTGTCTTTACCAGCGTAGCACGCGCGCACGCGTGCGCACACGCACACACACAGTGAGACACAGACACCCCCATATACAAACCCGAAAAAGCTCTGCAAAAGCTAACACAGCGTCTTGCAACATACAGACATGCATAAGGGCTCCAAGACAGCTGCAGCGATAGACTCACGTCCTGCCTACAGAAACCTTTCGCAGGTAGAAACACCAAAGCCAGTAGACCTGATGACTTGGGTGGCCTTAGGATCCCTCCCGCTCTCCCCAGGTGAAGGCCTGCTGTGTGAAAAAAGGCAAGGGTGCCCCAAGCCTGCTCATTCCTCTCCTTTTGCTGGGCGGTGGGGGAGCACGCCTGGCCGGCTGCTGTGGCTGTGCGCAAGGCCTTAGGCCATCTGAACAACTGAACAGCGTCAGATCTGCCATATGAGCAGGGCTGAATTTCGCACACAGTGCAGAGCACAGCAGTGTTTCTAAAAGCGAGATCTTGTACCTCCTGATTAGACTCAGCCAGAGGGTGTTGCTGGAGCTACTGATTTCTGGGTATCACCCCAGACCTGGTATATCAGAGGCCAGCCCACCAACCCAGAGATTAATAAAAAGATGGAATCAATAAAAGATCATGGTTGTAATCCTGAAATTTAATTTGTTTAAGTCTTAGGGGCTGGCCAGACAGCTCAGCGGACTAAAGCGCCTGCTTAGGCAGAGTACAGTGGCTGGGGTTGAACCCCCGGCATGCCTTGCTGGCCCTGCCCAGGGGCACACGGAGATGTTGATTGAGACTGGGCGTGGTGGTGTACACCTGCAACCCCAGCGCTTGGGAGGCTGAAAACAGGGGGATCACTGAGTGTGATCTAGGTAGTGAGACCCTGTAGACTCTGTACTAAATACTAAACAAATGATTTGTTGAAGTTATAGAAATGGGAAAAAGTCCTTGTTTGCGTGTGTTTTTAAAGAACAAGTATCCAACAAATATGTACAATTTTTTGCTCTTATGTATCAGTTAAAAGTAATTTCAAAAAATAATAAATTACATCTTTTAAAAAAGAGATAATAGGGGTTGGGGAGATAGCTCAGTGGCATAAGTGCCTGCCAGGTAAGTACAAATTCCTGAACTTGATCCCTGGTACTGGAAAGAGAGAGAGAGAAAGAGAAAGAGAGACAGAGAGAGAGACAGAGAGAGAGAGAGAGAGAGAGAGAGAGAGAGAGAGAGAGA